GTCGTGGGTGATAGTCTGTTAAGTGTGCGAAGGCTCCGAGAATGGACCGTGATAATTTTCCATCGCGGTTGCATAAGGTGAACGTGAGATAGTCGCCTTGAATTGAGAAACACTGAGGTTACTACAGCCACTCGCAGACAGCGAGGCGCACAGGAGGCGGCGTTCGCGCAATAGTGTGTCATTCGAGATTGAATAATCGCGTTTCACGATTCGAAAAGCGCAATCGATATCGCGTACTAGCTCCGCGAGGCTTGATAACCGATAACGCGCGATCGATAGTGGCCCTCTTGAGCGGAACCAGCCAAGTCTTCTAACCCTCTCTCGTATCGCCCGGCAATCTACCCGGCGAAATCGATTAGCCGCGTGTGTTCGATCGAGAGGATTTCCGAGATCGAAACCGTTCCTATTTCGATTGCCTACCAGATATATAGACAAACTTACGATCGCGTACACCCCCCGACGGCGAAATAAAGATCAAAATAAAGGCGGCTACGATCGACGAAACCTTGCCGCGAATAGGTCCCTAGGCGATAAAACGCGATCGGCTATACGAGCCCAGAAAACAATTCGATCCTTCCCTCTACACAGTCCTACCTTTCTCTCTTTCCTTCTTTATCCGCGATTTCCTGCGTAACTAAACAGCGGACAGCGTGACTGTCCCGCGAAAAATCGACCGATTTAATTTGGACAAATGTCCGTTGTACATTGGCCGTGAGTGTCGTGCTATTTACTAGAGAAAGAGAGAGAGAGAGAGAGAGAGAGAACTAACCGAGAGGGAAATAGCCGTGAAGCGACAGTATGCAACGTCGAATCGCGTGTCCGCAAACTTGCAATTTCGAATCGTTAGATTTACAGAGGACCGCAATTCCACGCGGCCCGGCTACAGCCTTTTTCGCTACTTTCGCGACACAACGGATTCCCGTGAACACAATCGACCGTTTTCCAGACACGGCAACGATACCACCCAATTCAGACCGTACAGTAAAAGGCTTAGTTCTCTTACGATAAAAACCGTTCGTAATAAAGAAACGTACAAATTGGAGTAATTACACTCCGTACACGTTCCGAGTGGGTTTCTTCGAGGAAGGAGGCTGAAGAATGCACGGGTAACCGGAGTAATTCGAGGGAACCAATCTCGAAAGGGTTGGTCGAAACGAATACCGACGGTGTTCGTATGTTCGAATCCGTTTGTACAGGTGATCCTTTAATTATTTCGAACGTTGCGTCCACGGAGCCTCGTGGTAATTGCATTACAATTTACCACCAATTATCCGTCGCATTGTTCTATCGAGCTTCGACTCGCAATCGAGGCCGTCGTTTGCAACGTCGAACGAGGCGCTTTTCAACGAGCTCGATTTCGCGCGATCTCGTGACACCCGGGCCCCGCTGTTGTCGCGCGTATAAACGAGAATTTTATTACGACGGGGATTCGAACGATAAAAAAACACACACACACAGAGAGCGGCGACCGTGTGCCGCTGTTGCTTCATTAGCTGATCGGGCACAATAAGAAGCAGCGAAGCGGAGTTCGTAAGCCAGGTGACTCACGCGGCTAACCGAGCACGCGAGACCCGATTGCTTTTAAATAGCGATGCATATTATACCGCGAGGAAGGCCTGGGCTGGCCGTGCGCTCACCGATAAACTATAGCCCGCTATAGATCGCATGTTGAACGCGACCGAACATTTGCAAATTCTAACTGTTTAACTTTTTCTTCTCCTCTGTATTTTTTTCCCTTTCCTCTCTCTCTCTCTCTCTCTCTCTCTCTCTACCTTATTATACCGGCGTTTAATTCACGTGACGTTCTACTCGACGAATAATTCGTCGAGTGTCACGTAGTAATAATAAAATTTCCAGGTTGGATGAAAGATGGACTTACGTCAGTGTACGACGAAATTTAAACCCACGCGAAAAAAGAAAACAGGAGACACTTTTTTATTATCGTGCGAACAAACCTAATTGTCACTCGATCATTGAACAGATAACTGTCGATCCGGTCTAATATATAACGACGCGTCGCGGGAAATTTGAAATTCGCGTGTAACCGTTCGCGAAAAAAGAAAAAGAAACCGTGTAAAATGATACTGGTTATTTTGGTAACGTAACGTTTGCAACCCCGAAAATCGTGCGCCGGTGTCACCTTGCTGCACCGGTACCGTGGTCGCGCGCGGGTTGAACGTGCCGCGCGCGCGAGGAGACGCACAAAGAAAACGGTTCGGAACTGGTTCGGCGAAGTCGAGCGTTCTCGGGCGCGCACGACGTGCACTACGAACAATACGATTTTCTAGGAGGAAACGGTGCAGAAGAAGCCAGGAGAGGAGGCGGCGAAGGCGAGCGAAACGAGAGAGGGAGAGGAGAAGTAGGGAGAGGAGTGGACGGGCTGGAGGGTCGCGGAGCACGTGAAAGGCGATTTAAAGGGAAAAAGAAGGAGGTGGCCTTTAAAAAAAAAGAAAGAAAAAAAAAGAAGAAAAGAAGGAACATGGCGAACCGGTCGCAGCCTCCATTCGTCAGCTGGGAGCTCAGCTGCAGCCGGGCGCGGTGACCTCGACGGAGCTTCACGGAAAACCGAGTCAATTTGCAAGCAATAACGGTGTCACGCCATGCGTCGTTTTCATCGGTGATTTAACGCGCTTTCGTGTAAACCGCGCGCTCCCTTGCTAAACCCGTCGATACACGCACAAGTTTCCCCGGTTTTTTCGTTTTTTTCTTTCCTTTTTTTCGAACGCCACACACACATAAGGAGACACCAACGATACACCGATAGAACGGCGAGTTTCTTTCAGAGACCCGGCGACACTCTGTGTGTAGAAACGCGGTCACCGGTCGCTTTACAGGTGATCGAAAGTACCCCGGCCAACTGACAGTTCAACGACATTCGTCTTTACCATTGCACGGGAAACGCGTTTCCCTTCAAAATCTAATCGCGAATATACGACGATATCGATATCGACCGCCACGCTTGGATACCGAATCATTTACCGAATACGTATGAACGATTCGCGTCGTCAAGTTAGACGGCGACCGATTCGTGTATGTTTATCGAATCTTTCATTCATCACTTCCCGATCTCATTATACACTGTTTTGAAAAAATATACCGAAACACCGTGTAATTTCATCTTGAACGTACGTAAGGATTATGATTGTACGTAAGGACAGGATTGCCGACTGCGAATTTTCCGTTTACTGACAATTCGTACGTTAAAAGCAGAAACGATCGAACGATAGGAGAAAAAAATTAGAGGCTCTGGCAGACTGTCACAATTGAAGTCAAAAGAGGTTACACGGAAGGATCAGGGCACCGCACGATAACGTAAGAAAACTGTGTGTATTTAAGCGAAGAGATTCTCTTAAGGAGTTACCGCGTCGAAGAGAGGTAATTTAAACGAGAAACGAAGACGGAGGAATGGGATGAGAGTTTTTAAAAAGAAACACGGTAAACCGGTCGGTGCGTCCGTTCATCAGCTGAGAGCCCAGCTGAACCCAGCGGCCGCTGTAACCTCAACCTTTCTAATAGGCTGTATTTCGTAAGAAACTATTAACTCACGATGTCCGCGAGTCCTGTCGATAGAGATTAAACTGAAATACCTTGACGTTCGAGTTTCATCCACGGGCGAATAACGGAACACACGAAAACACTGGCTTTTCGGGGATAAAACTTTTTGAAAGCCCACTCACAATGGAATCTTCCAGTAGACTGGCCGAGCCGGCAAGCCGTTCTCTTTTGCGTGCACACCCACCGCTTCGCGCACTGTCTCACGTTTTACACCGTTAATCCTTCTTTCGCGGACCGTTTCGACTTTTTAAACAGCGGAAGGCTTCACGACGAGGTTCAGCCGTCGTTTCGATCCGTTATAAAACACTTATTTGCAGCAGAAACGCGGCGGTATGCATACCGCTGACAGTTCGAGCTGTCACTTTTTGACGACCGCGTATGTGCCGCCATCTGATGCAGCTGCAATGAAACACCGCTTGATTTGAAAGAACCGCGCTCGGACCACCTAGCAACAAGATCAATAGGCTAAGTTACAGCCAGTCAACCACTAACTGATGTATCTATAACGTTTTTATTAATTATTTAACAAAAGGTACATCTGCAAGCGTGAAACTTTGTTTTTTCTTCGTTTTACCTGTTCGTTCCTGGTACTTCCGGTACTACCGTGGTTTTCACAGTTCGACTTCGACTTCCGGGGGTTGACATACGCCGATTTGCTTATTTTCAAAACTGAAACATCGTAACAAGGTAGAACATCGTTAAAAGTCATTTGATTTTTTCATTTGAATTTTTATTATAACAACCTCGTTCCTCTAGTACAAAAAATCGAACGTCCTCGTGATCATTTACAAGATATAATAACGTATATTACAAATATTTGTGTTCTCTCGATGCTTACGTCATTTTTTTCTTATTGTGTACCTAATCTCTTGTCTCTTTGTTTCAGTGTCTTTGTTTAGTAGTCCGTGTCACAATTCTCTCTCGCTCTTAATGTGGGAATACAAACAGGCTGCTCACAATACTCGAGATATATTCGCTCTCACAACATCGATCGTAATTCTACCTCTTTTTTTCTCCGTTAAATTGGTACACGTTTACACTCACACATACCACGCTTCATCGTCGTGTCCTGACTTGCTCGTTTTCGACGCTTCTACGTTGTGCAAGTTTCACAACAGTTTACCATCCGCTAAGGTAAATACTCCTTGTAAAAATTATTGAATTCTATAACCTAACAGAAGGTCAAGTGTCGATCTTACCGACACAATTTCTTCTTTTCTTCTAACTCGCGTAAAACATCTCGAACAAATGTAAGATCGAATTGACCTTACGCAACGACGATGAAAAACGAGACACCTAATTAGAAAAGATAACGCGAGTATTTCGAACAATGTGAGGAAAATAAGTTCTAGTACTCGAACATAAGCATACAGCAAGATACGCGTACTCCAGAAATATTGCACAATACAGTATTCTAAACGAAGTACATTAACATTCGAAGACGCATGATAAAATCCACGCTAATTCCACATAGGAATTATACATTTTCAAAAAGTTTTTCCTTACAAAGATATACAGTACATTGTTCTAGCTCTTCTTTAAATATCTCTCTGTGACGCGAGCGTATAACAACAAATAACAACAAAATGCTCTTAGCAACAACACTTTTGGTAGAATAATTTGAACCTAATGTCTTTAAAAACATAAACGAAAAAAAATGTATGCAAGAACTTCGAACGTGGAAGGTCAGCAACATGATTCGTGACATTATTAACATAGGGAATGTGACTGTACATGGCCGTCAAAATTACACTGTTCTCCGAAAAAATCGCTTAATCAGAGATCCGGTGCGTATCGTTTACGCCACTAATGAAAAACCCATTACATGCCGGCGTACTTTAAAACTTTTAATAACTACTAATTTAATCTTTCTTGGAGTCTTTGTGCGATTGCAGCAACCAGCGCAGCACCCTTTCCGCTTCCATCCTCGGCGTGGATCATCTTGAACTGTATATTATCGATCGGTTAATTGATTTTTCAAGAAAATCCGACTATTAGAAAGAATTTTTCGAAAATGTACCTCGTGTTTAGGAGCTAACAGAGGAATATATTGTTTGATCCACGTCTCTAGTCGAGGATGATGTTTGTAAAGAGATCCATCTACAGCGATAGTTACAGATTCCTTGTCGATTCGCTTTAATAGAACTGCTAGACCTAAAGAAAATCAATCTCGATTAATATCATTTGCAATTTGACATTGTTTATTTTCTAACTTACATATAGAAACTAGAAGAGCTGCACGATTCGATACAACTTCGCAAACATATTGTACAATTTTAACATCCTCTTCGTCAGGAATGATACCGAACTTCATCAGAACTTTCCTAGTACTGCTATTACCACCGTCCACCGAGTCCCTAGATTACAATATTTCTATGAAAATTTCGTACAGCACAAATAGCATTCCGAGTTCTACCTAATTCCAATCAACTTACTGCTCGATGTCCGATACTAAATCGCTAGTAAGATTTCCAGGTACCAAGAGAGATCCAGGCGTGTGTTCTCCTACGAATAAGAGCCCATCTTTGGTTAACTTTGCGAGCACCACTCGCACAATCTCGCCTAAGTATTTCCCGCTAATATATTTTTCAAACCTGGACATTTCGAAGAGAATGGTATAATAAATTAACCGGGGAGACAGGGACCTTTATACATTTTTCAACGTGCTTGCTACTTACGTGAATGAATTTGCAATAAGAGAGTTCGCGTCGTTCTCGCGATCGTAATCTGTCTTGATGAAGTCCAGGACGCCGTTATCCCCGAATGCACCCCATTCAATATCAATAATAACCTTTGATAGTAACGAAATAATTGTTAATTTAACATTCAGATATTAATATTCGTTCGACGTGAAAAGATTACGTTAGAGAAAAGAATTACCTCTCGTTCTCCGTGCCTCTCAGTCTCCCAATGCTCGACTCTGTCGGCTCGTTCGAGATAACATGCATTGCTACCGGTACCCAAAATAAGTCCAATCGCAGTATTATGATCTAACGTCGATCCTTGGATTAATGTTCCCGTGGTGTCGTTCAAAATAGCAATTACCTTCACTTTAGTGTCTCCTCGACGATCTAAAGCTTCACGGAGCAAATTCACCACATCCACGTTCATAGCATCGGGACAATTGAAAGTTTTGGTCCACGTCACTAACATCCCGATATCCAACGAGTGTTGAATCATAGGAAAGGAGAAGGTGAATCCTTGAAAGTAAAAGAAATCGATATATATCGAAAGATATAATCTTCAAGCGTGTTTTTTTCTTCTAATCGACATGTTCTTAGGAATTATTGTGTGAGTACGAGAATTATCGTATGGTAATCTACGGTTCGATCTACAACGAGTATTGTCCACTTGAATTGGTAAAATCAATGTGAAACACGGCACTCGAGAGCTGATAACAAACGGCGGTGCTTGAAGTCTCGACTTCGATACTCTCGAGCAGAATTTTATAATTGCAATTATCCCGGAATCACCAAAAGTCATTTGCGAGAAACGACAGGTTTCGCTGGTGGCAATTAAAAAACAACGCCTCACACGTGATTCCCCCGACGTTCTTTAACGTAATGTACGTTGATTCCAATTTACCAAGGGGAAGCTCTACATCCTGAAGACCCTGCTCAATGACGAAATCACTGACGCATTCCGCCAGATAATCAAACAGACGAATCGCCGAGCCCACTCTCAAATCAGAGTTAATGTGGTATTTCTTCACTTGCTCCCGTATAGGTGTACCATGGGCCAACTCCAAAAGAAGCACCCGGAGATGCGTGCCACCGAGATCCAGCCCCAAGTACAAACCCTCCTCTGAAAAAGCAATTTCATTTCGTCAATCCTTCGTTCCGGTCGTGAGTAACTCAACGATTTTCAATAAAAATAGAAGCTGTTATTTCAAAGCTCTCGTCGTCACACGTGAAACATTACCACTTGATTTCTTTTAACGGCTGTTGTATAACAAGTTAAACTTTGCATCGATTGTCTGAAAATTCTTATCGATCTTATCAAAGAACTGCTGTAACAACCTGTGCCATCGAGTAGCTCAGGGACGTAAGTATTCTCCATCTGCAACGACGACGGACACCGATGTATCCCTTTGTTCATCTCCGATAGAAACACATCCTGGATCTTCCTCACGGTGGCGGCCGTGAATCGCAATCCGGCCAATTTTTTGTCGATCTATAAGCAAAGTAGAATCTCTTGAACCATCTTACATCACCTCGATATTCGCGTTATCGTTATCGAAATTATTCGATCCGGACGATAGAAGGTCGGGGAAATTTTCCGTCAGCCGTAAATCTCAATAATCCCCCTGTGATAAACGTCACGAGGCATTTTCGCGGGATCCGAGACGTCGCTATTTACCCTGCTCCCTGTTACGTGATCCCTAATGGGATTTTAATAGACGAACCAGAAGAACGCGCTCGCGAGATGGCTAGATGGCAAATCCTGATAAAACAAGGAGGATTAACTTCGCGACAATAAATTGTTACCAGCCTGAAGGAAGTCGCCCATTCGAAAAGTACAATCTTCCATACGTATACACATTCTTCACCACTCGAGTTTACGTAAGAACCTGATGAACGCTAGCTTAACCGATCATTTTCGTTTACAACAAACGCACCCTCTCTATTCATTTCGTCTCTTTTTTTCTTTCTACAACATCGCGATACTTCGCGATCCAGTTTGAAGTACGCGAGAAGATCGAAAACAGAGTTCTCATGACCGGGATAATACTAATATTTCACTTCCTCGAAGGCAAACCGGTTGCATTCACGCAAACCTCGCCGCCAATGCGTAGCGTAAAAAATTCTGGAAACCGATATTAAATGGACGGAGGTGAAAGACAAGAAAATATGTTCGATCGATAATACCATATCCGTAGTACACAGTCGTCGCGGGAAAAGATATCCCGCGAACTATTTTCGCTGTCGCGTGTAAACAATCCCGGAACGCTGCACGCGACTCAAAGGTATTAAACTACATGACATGTTAAGTGGAATGAAATTTATTGCCGCTTCTTGTGGATTGAATTGTCAACGGTATATACTCGGGTGATAGCGACAAGGATAAAATTATTACCAACGTCTGTTGGTCTTCCTTCGACGTTCTATCTGGCCTCGTATCGATTCGACGAGATCGAGAAAGGAAACGGAGTGAAACAAAAGTAAACAGGGATTGGCCGTGACATTGCGACGGGCTACTTTAATCGAATGCAGAAAGAGTATTACGTGGGTAGCTTGGCTTATATATCAGCCTCTAGTTGTGTAACATTCTCTCTATGCAAATATTTATTACACAGACTGTGCGTTGCTCACTCTAAACGGAGGAAGATAAACAAAGCTTTAATATATATAATTTTTTCTTTTTCTTTTTAATTTGTTGTAACGATTATACAACGACTGAATGGAACTATTAGTTGCTCGTTTTCTGGCTAGCTATTATACCGCGACGCGAAACGCGTCTCCGCCGATAACACGTTCGAATATCGTACACTCTTCATAATAAGAATTGCCTGACGATAACCCTGTGACAGAGGTCACGATAAGAAGACGATTTATGAGCAGTTCGTTACTAAACGCGTGATAGCTCGTTAAGTCTAGCTTTATCCACCTTGACATGAATGTCCTGTTCCGTTGTTTATAAGAATAGCTACTATTACGTTCTCCATTTCACTCCACAAATTCCCCGGGATTTCTGTCGAATTTTCGCGTAGCGCAAATTTTTCCTCCGCGAGATCACACTCGAACCTATGGTACGAACAATTGTACACCGGGCGGAATAAATCGGGTACTGGGTAGCACAGAAATCGACGCGAACGAAAGTGAAAGTATCTGTATACGATCGATCGCGGTGTCAGTAAAATCTTAAGGAGAATGTTGCAAGGTTAGGGACTCCGATGTTCACCGTTTCTTGCATCCGGGGATGATTCAACGCAGCGATCAACGATCGGACAGATGTCGATCAATTTTACAAGAAGCGCGTGTAGACTCTCGAATTAGAAAATTTAAAAAAAATATTTTAACGCCGGCTAGATGATCGATGACAAATTCTTGCAACGATAGACGGTACATGGTGAAATCTCGTTCGTAAAGCTCCAAGCGTAATAAATCTTCGAGCCGAGTTCTATAACTTCGCGTTACTTCGTCAATGTTCTGTTATCAGGCGCGAGCGCCAGCGCGTCCTTGTCTGTGCCAGTTCAAGGGCTGAAAGTTCATGGCCAATAGACCGAGAATTGTCTTAGATAACCACGTCGGATGCTGTCGAAACGTTCGAACAATCGTGTGACCAATTGCCTTACCTTTTGTTGCCTTACGTCGTCCAAAAGTCCCAACGGTGCTACCTGTATGGCCTCGTTGAGGGCGTGCTCTGTGGGGACGACCATTTCTATAGGATCTCGATTGTCTGAAAGATTAGGGAAATCTAATTGAACATTATTAAAACTCTAACAAGTACACATTGAAGATAAGTGAAATTAGTTTCATTCATCTCGAAGAGAAATATACAGTGATCATTCGTTCGATATACGTGCAACGCGTGCTCACCTGATTGCCGCGAACGTTATCTAACAACGGAAGTCTTTTCTTTCTTTTTGAATGAAAGAAACCACGTTACGAGGCGAACGTGAATGAAGTGGTCGCGGTTGACGATAAGGTGGTCGTCGCTGAGGCAGAAGTCGTCGCGTGGTTCTTCGCGAGAGCGAGAATCGTTCTGAGGAGGAGTTAGAGGGGTCACGCTATTTACTATTCTTCGCTTATTTTCCCTCCTACCACTCTTTTAATCAACATTCTGTGAGATGATAACGCTGTTAGCTACTGCTAAACCAAAAGTTGAAAGTCCACGGTATTTTATAATGCCTGATAACAACACTAATCGAAACGCGTGAATAACAACATCGTTTTGATTTAGAAAGGGAACGCGCCACTTATTCGTCAACCCCTTGCATTGTGAAAGCACCTCCTACGCTCACCACTAGATGGACGAATACGACTAACATCCTTTCTCGCTAGTTCCCGCGTTAACTTTCGTTCCCATAAACACAACCTTCTCAAATAAGTTTATCTATTGTTTGCGTGAAAGGTAACGAATGTTCTACATAATCTTAACAAAGAGTCTACGACTAAAAAGCGCATTTTACTTTCTTTATCTTTCCCTTTCATCTTCGTAATTAACGACATTGATTATTACGACTCGAATAACGTCGTCATATACTTCTACGACGTTCCGTTGTTAACTAAAAATTGATCGGTAGCAGTGCACTGTTAACGTTACAGTTGACAACGATATTTTGCTCTGTACTCGAGAAAATTGTCGAACGAACGACGAACTTTGTAAATGCAGAAATCATGATTACTCGATCTAACGACTAACCTGAGAAAAATTATCCAACGATCACGTGTACTCACTCGGTGGACATTCGAAGGAAAGGAAAGCAGCCGCTTCAGAGTTCGATTGATATTTAATAAAGGAAGAAAACACGTCTGCTTAACCGATTTAATTACAAGACAGACATTCGCTGTTCTACTGGGGTCATCAACTATCGTACTATTATCTTGACGCTGATTGATAAATGGGAAATTCACGGATGATCGTGAGTCGTGTGTGTACACTCTAAGTTCATAATTCATCGAACGTTGTACTAGTTTTAAAGAAAATTTTGTATCAAGCTGGAGTAACAATTTCACGATACATCTTAAATCAGTAAGTAAGAATGAAAAACGCAAAAACATCGATCATCGAATACGTAGCGCGTTAGAGTAGCGACTATCAAATGGCATTTCACGAAATTCAAAAGGAATCCATAAACTAGAAAAGTTTCTTACGTTCACCGTTCACTGATCGTTTCTTCGAGTTATGACATTCCACTTACATTATTCGATGAACGAAAAATTGACTGCACTCCGCTAAGCTGTCGCGATTTCTGAACAACGTTTTTCCTCCATGCGTATACACAATGAAACGACACGTACATATATGCACTACCGTACAAACGCTACGCATGCGTGTTACACCAATTACTGTCCTGTACATAAACTGATCGTTTGAATCAATTGTGTCAGGTTCGTTAAACCTTGCAAATAAGAGAGTTAATGAAAGTATTTGACGGTTGAGGGTTCGAGGCAGAAATTCTATTTTTAGACGAATAAAATATTCGACATGTGAGGTATAAGAGAAGAAGGATCGCAATTTTAATATCATTACTAACACGTTCCGTGCCGGACCGATTTTTGGTTACTTTCCGTTCAGGTCGTGTGGGGCGTATACGCCCTATATGTACGTCTTCTAATATTTATAAGATCGCAAAAATCATTGTTATCAAGAAAAAGGTAACGTTTAAGCAACGGAAAAATTGTTTTCGTATACACCCCACGCGGCACGGAACGTGTTAAAGAGATGGAAGATGAAGAACCCGTTCGGTGAGAAAAATTCGCCGAGCTACATGCCACGTCTCTGACATACCACAGATATGTATTATTTTTATTTTCTTTCTACATATAAAACCTCTTCGTGCAGTTTCCGCGAATATTTACGTTATACGATAAAATTATACATCTACAGATAGCAGACAAACGATTCCTAGGAAATTGTATCGTAATAAGTAGGAACAAAGGAGAAGCAACGTGATAACATTCGAATGAGAAATTCTCGAGACGCGGGAAACGAGTGACTAGGCACTAGTTGCAAATTGCGCACAAGCGTTAGGAACCGCTTCGTAACCGTACAAACGCAAACTCGATTATCGAATCGATTTATTTCGAGAATTGAAAGATCAATCTGTTCACTCGTACGATGATCGTTTAACTTACTCGACCAGCGATAGATTTTTTTTCACTGTCGATTATCAAAGATAAAGAAGAGGCTGGACGCCACTAGAATATTCTTACGAGCCATCAAAGTCGTTTCGAACGAAGCTCCATTAAAATCAATTGGAAGGTGCAAAACGTCAACCAGGATAATTTAGCCACTTGACCTGACATGATCATTCTAATCCATAGTGCAATACGCATACTCGTCACATGGATAACAAACGACCACCATATTTCAAACAACACCTTCTTACCGGAGAACATTAGATCACGTAAAAAAACACGTATCGATTATCTTCGCTTTCAACCTACGGGTGATCCACCGTTTTTTTTTCCATCTATCGTTACACTATCAACGCCTGACGTTTTATTATGACGCAAGTGGAATACGTCACGATAGTTCGACGTACGAACCGCGTGTATGTAAAACACAGCCAACGTGTGTACGTACTGTTCTAATTTATTTTGAAAGGTGAAATCTTGCACAGCTTTTTTTACGAAAAGCGTTACCCGTGTATAATAACGGACTACCCTTTCATTAAGAGCATGCATGGTTATGTATGATCTTTACCGCTTGAATTATAGAGCTTCCGTGAATTACGGCGCACAGCTTTAGTACGAAAAGCGTTACCCGTGTATAATAACGGACTACCCTTTCGCTAAGAGCATGCATGGTTATGTATGATCTTTACCGCTTGAATTATAGAGCTTCCGTGAATTACGGGACCATTATCACCAAGGTCTCGAGTAAGCCTTAATCGAATAGAATTCCCTCGAGAGTGCAGCGGCTCGTTTTACGTTTCGGGACGTTCGAATATTCTTATCGCAACTTTCTAGACGAAAGTTCAATTATTTTGGTATCGAGGAGTCAACGTAATCTCCGATGTTATTTATAATTAAAGCAAAAGTAATCCATTATCGATTCCGATAATACCGTATTATAATTAACTAGGACACAATTAATCCAGATAATATGTAACATTTTTGGAATGATGCGTGACAAATGTGTAACAGTATATCGCGGGTTCACGCGATCGACGCGTTATTTTTAGATGTACTTTATAGTTATTGATGAGATCACTATAGATCGAAACACGTTTATAGACACGTGTATCGGGTGAGGTGGCTGTCAAGCTTCTCTATTGAATCGTCAGGTTTAATATACGCGAAGGAAAACGAGACCGTTTTCGTTCATAGATACAATAATACGGAGAATGATAAAACGTGTAATTTTAATTCCGTAAAGCATTCAAGATGATGTACCAGAGTGTTGTTGTGCCGCGATAAGCCTGTATGCCTCTCGTAATGTTATTGTACAATATGAATTTACACGATCGTTATCAGGACCGGGTGATAAAACATTTATCGAGGCTGAGAAATGTTTGACAAATGTAATTACGGATAAGATGTTTCGCGTTCAAGGCTTTCATCTTCGACATCGTCGTTAACGATGCGCTACACAAGCCAATCGTGAATGGCAAGGTCTAGTTTAAGAGTAAGGAAAATACAACGTGAATATGGATGAGCCGCGATAATTGTAATTCTGGAATTTTGAAAAGCGCAACGTTCAACTGTACTAACGAGAATCACGGGAATATACGTTTGAACGTGATATGACAACACATGCAACACATTTCAAGGACCCACGTGGGCTCGTCGACCAAATAAATACACTAGAATAACGCGCTTATTACGTTTCATTTACCGTGTTTGCGGCAAATGACATCAACATTTCGAACCAGTTCGAAACATAACAAATCGCGAGCGTGGTGGATTCGATTCAAAAAGCGATACACGGTATTAAGATGACACCGCAATACTGCCGTTGACATCGCTTCTAGGATAAATCTCAGTGATACCTCCTCTTGTCAACGATCGACAAGCGTAAAGACGCTTGACCGCACGTGCACCACCTCGTTACATTCTCACGGTTCATTCTAGGAAATTGAGAAACGCAAGCTCACCCTAACACTTTCTACGTATAACTGGCGTGTCCGGGAACGCTCCAGCTTCCGATCCTCTTCTGTTCTTCACTGGGTCCAGTTACCGGTCAACGACTGTGAAGTTCCTCGAGACGTGACAGAGCACGCACACGTACAAACACGTGGGTGAGACACCGTGAAATGTACTCCGTCTGAGAGGAGCAAAATGGTCGAGCCTCCAGAATGTCGCTTTCCCCACTGCTCCAACTTTAAAACCATATCTGTGCGTATTACGTGCGCGCGCCTTCGCGCTCACACGCACACTACCCACCACACGTGCTACACGCGTGTGTATGTGTTTTCGCGGATACGTCGCCGATAGTGTTGATCTATGGTATGAACGCGCGCGCGCGTATCTGAGAATATCGCGTGCATTGATACCACGTGATATTGTAGCCGTGATCGAAAACCGCGTAACACGCGTATAAATGCAAGGATTTCTCAGGCGTATAATCGTGCAGCCAGAGGGCACGAGTGTTTTTTTTTTTCTTCCTTCAGCTTCAAGTTCCTCCTTTACGTCTTCTCCGTCTTCGATCTCGTAGAAACATGACACGGTAAACGTACAACCCTTTGGTGCAGAAATTGATTTAAACGTAGATCGACCGGAGAAAGACGATCCTGGCTAGATGAAGTATACTTAGGATAACTACTGTACAATAGGAATTTATTTCATATGAACTTAGCATAGGTGTGTATTAACCGAGAACGATATATCTCAAATGATCCTGCAGGTTCGCATTATATCGGTTAAACGGTGTTTGAATATAGCTGAAATAAAATAACAGCCGTCTCTTCTAAACTACATAGGCTAAATGGAGTTCGATTAAATTGACGAAGTGGTTTCATAAATTGGTTAAGTTAGATTTCATAATGTACGGCACCGGCCTATAAGCGACCGTCTTGCACTTCGAAATGATAATTAACAAAAGTACAATTCGTGTTAAGATGTCCGGGAGATGTATTGAGGCTTGGCTTTGAATCCCTAACAGGGACATGGGTAGAGGCAGTTGATAGTTCACTTTGGTAACGTACATTCACTGTACCATCCGGTATTAACCACTTGCGCAGGCAGCCAATTCACAGATGCGCGTGCCAGAACGCTATACACTGTAACTCGCCGTGAGGAGTCACTTGAAACGAGAAGACTCGGTAGAGCCTTACGCAAAAAGTTTTACACAGATATGAACACTAGTTTTATTTATTAATAATATCGTACAGTATAGTATATTTCAAAATAGTCTGGAATATGTAGCGTCACAAGGCATTCCTTGCATTCCCACGTAGTTCACTGCGTTTTTTGTGTTTTGCATATACTCTACACCTTCTCTGTGCATTTTTTTTAGCTTTTGTGCGTGGAATATGCCTTAGAAAATGTCCCCATTGCTTTGCTTGTAAACAATGCGGTATGTTTTTGATAATCAGGAATACGTACACTTTGTAAAATTTGTTCTGTATTACAAACTGCAAGAACTTTGAAATACATACATCCGTATGAGACACTATACCAATGACTCCACGCGACGCGATGCAATCTGAAAATATACTTCGACAAACGATATCAGTCGACGTGCCGCGTATATCTTTCCAGCGCAAGTGGTTAATACAACGAATCTAATGTGCGTATACAGTTTTTTGACGCAAACTTAGATGCCGATGTAATTAATTTAATTGAATTAGACAATTAAAAAGTGTTTTATTCTACATTTCTATTTTCATTTATTCGTCAAATAATGTGCTTGTTATAAAATTAAAACATGTGCAATATTCAACTTTGTACACAATTTTTCATAAGTTTCAATTGAGAATCTACTGGTGTTACGTTTGTAAAATAGTAAAGTAAAGTATAAAAGTGATAAATATTCACATTACTCCGGTAACAGATCGTCGCCAAGTTCTTCGTCGCCGAAATCGTCATCTCTCTTTCCAGCAGACGTCATAGGGCGAGTAGGTAGCGGGCCAATTGGATCAACGTAATGGGTACCTACATAGAATACTTTTCATGCACCTGTGTACTTTACGATGACTCGGATATCATACAATATTTCATTATAAATTATTGGAGAATTTGATAATAAACTATAGACTACTGTACAAGTCTGGGAATCATTGCTAAGTAGGGAGAACAAGAATAGGCTGTTCAAAATAGCTAGACTCATATATCATCTGTTCAATCCATTAAGGCAGTTCAACCGTCATCTGTAGATCATTCTTGTTAATGTTCATTTCGAATAAAGCTACGCGTTTCTGAAGCTTTGATAGCTCTAATAAATACTCAATTTTATATATATATATATATACCTACCATTTTACGAATTGTGCTGATAAGAAAATTCTTTATTTTTTTATTATGTCTTCGGTTTCGAAAAATTACGTACCTGTCTGATCACTCGTATCATTTGTTACTTCTGCGATATTTTCACTTGTAGAAATTCGGTTAGATCGTACAACGCCAGCACTGCTCAAACCTTGATTTTCTTTTCTACCAAAGGTGGGACTCGATCTATGATCTGATAGTACGCTCATTCCGGAACCAGTTCGTGACGATGCCCCACTGTTGCTCCTTCTTGACCCTACACATAAATATTGTTACAACAATGTTGCGATTAATGCAGTTAAAAATATAAATTATATACCTGGCCTTGCCGATCCTTGTCTATCCTTCAGTTCCTTCGCTTTCTCAGCGCGTTTTAATTCCGTTGCATATAACTGAGCTTCTTTTAAACCGAGATCGCTGCATAAACGAACTAAAAATTTAAGGCACTCAATGTTCTCAGGAAATTTATTGTGAATGTCTTGATACTCCTCAAGAGCTTTATGAAATTGGCCAGTTCTTCTTAAACATGCAGCCACAAGTAGTCTCCATCTTGGCTCATCGGGAGCAAGTTCCACTGCTTTTTTGAAATAAATTAGTGATTTCTCGGCAATTTGCATGGACACAAAATATGATCCGAGCCAATCGATTACCTCAAAGTTTGCGGGAAAGAATCTATAAGACTGTATCGACATGAATTTTAATAACATTGTACAATAGGATAAACCTAGTTTTTGCAAAACTCCAGGGTCACACGGTATTATACCAAGCAGCTGATTGTACCTAGTGCAATTTGTTTTATATAAATTAATTATTTATACCAAACACAGATTCGAAATTAATATAAGAAATAATCATAATACCATTCTGCTGCTTGATCTACGTCGTTCATAAGTTGATACAAATGGCCAATTTGATACAATGTTTGTGGATCGTGTCTAACGATATTACGAACTTTCCAAAAGCATTCCAATGCTTCTTCGTACATGCTTTGTTTCTTATACACTAATCCTATTAGATAAGTTTTCATAAAGAATTTTATACTTCGATTTATATGTTAATAACAATTACCTAAGTTATAAAGGGCTTGAACGTGACTAGCGTCTGTATCTAATGCACATAAAAGAAGCTCTTTAGCAATATTTAGTTCACCCTTTCTGATCGCACACGCTGACAAGTTAACATAAGCTGCTGCATTGTAAGTATCTGCATTTCGAGCGACTTCTCCGCATCTCTCCGCTTGATCATAATCTCCTTGCTAAATATTACATAGAAATTGTTGTATTAACTTGTTAATACTTCATTTAAAAGCAACAAATGCAAGTATCTTACAAGAAAATAAACAAATGATAGCATGGTCGCAGCGGAACTATTAGCTTTACTTTCTCGATTTTCAAACATTTTTAAAGTATCGATAGCTAACTGTGTTTCTCGATTGTGTAAAAATACCATAGCTTTACTTATTTCCAAATCGGCAACTAACGGTCCGTAGGCTGAAGACTTTATAGTATCCACACACCTTTAAAACATCTGATTATAATTAACTAAAGATTTCATTTTGATGTAATGTATACATTAAAATAATCTCTTAAACTATACCAAGCAAAACCAGCTGTAAGTGTGTCTTCAATTACAGGTGCTATGAGTTTTGCAGCACAAAGGATAGTTCTTTCAGCTTCTGATTTCAATTCTTTTTCTAACATAGATAAATCATCGTTTTTTAAAATCTCATTCAATATGTTAGAAGCAACATCATCCTATAAAACGAATAAACAGGATTAAAAGAAAATTTAAATATTCATTTCATTGAAAATCAATGATTTGCACTGTGCTCAATGTGTGCAATATTATAAATTTGCAATTATTACACAAAAGTGTTAGTGCATAATATCACAAGTTTCTTTTAAGTGTTCCCTAACATTATTTAAAGCAGAAAAGACAAATAATTATGTAACTACTGAGTGTGGGCAGTGACCAGAAAAACACTTTATATAATGATATTTATAAATGTGCCCAACTCACTGTACTTATATTATATCTGTCCTCCTGATCTATGTTAAGTTGAACCTCTAATAACTCTAAAAATGCTCTTTTCATTTTATCTCTATGAGACAATGCAAAATGGCATAATACTGCATGCAAGCCTGCTTTAAATTCAGCTCTTTCTTTCATGACCCATTCAAAACTATTAGCTGCTTCTTCCAAACGACCCATTTGCACAAATAACATTCCAATGTTATGCATTATTTTTATTCTGTGAATTATTTAGTGAGTTAATGGTAATACAGCATAAAGTACAAACATACAAATCCAATACCAGTAACCCAACAAATTCTTGCAATAACATAGTATCATCTTAGTACCTTAAATCTTTATGAGCTGTTGGAGCTTGGTCAAATGCCATTCTATACATCTTAATTGCTTGAGACAACTGTCCCATTTTAACATATACATTTCCCATGTTCACTTTTAATCTAGCACTATTACTAAACATTCTATTTCTTGTTATAGCTTGATAAGTTGCTATAGCTTCAGTAAACATATTATTGTTAGTGTATTGAGTTGCCAAATTAAAAATGACCTAAAAGATTATACATTATTAAGTAATCTCTAGCATTTTTGTAAATTATAGTTGTCAGACAAAAAATGATTCTTACAGCAAATGTTAAATCTACATTATGACTATCACTTAGCCCAGCTTGTTCTTGTAAT